GGAAATCATTCCCTTTGCGTGTATATGAATATTTTATTTATTTATCTTTGTTTTTCTTAAGTACAAATGATATTACCACATATAGATAAATCGATTTGGAATTTTTCATTTCATTATATGTTTGTTAATTTGGCATTTTGTCAATATTTTCTAATAATTAATTGTTCTCTTTTTTTTGTTTCTTTAGGAAGCTTCCCCAATACGGACTTTACATTTTCATCCATCTGGTAACTTTTTACTTGTTGGCACTCAGCATAAAACACGTAAGCCTTTTCGTACAAATTTTTTTAAAATTTAATGGTGACTTCTAAGTGTTACAGTAATTTTAATATTCCCAATGAAATTCATAAATAACTCGTCTAACATTTTCAATATTCGATTTACACATGTCTGGTTCTTCAGTGTGCTCACATAATCCTAATTGACATTTATCATTGATAAATTCTGTCACCCAACGGCCTAAATCATATTTGATTCGATTGTTAAATCATAGTTTATTACTCAAACACATCTGTGCTCCCAAATGCTCGGATACAGTCGAGAGTGGGGAGAGTCCGCTCTTCCTCTCGAAATACTCTCACATGACCACGCGTATATAGCCTCTGCCAGGGAAGTCCTACTCACTGCCTTCTCGTAGCAGGGGTGTTGTTTACGAAATTGAAAGGACGAAAGGCGAATGTCCAGTGCTTTAACCGGGTTGGTGGACACAGAGAGTCCACCTAGGGGAGTTGCAAAACCCTGATTACAAACCAATGGTGCACATAGGCTCTAGTACCCTGAGGGAACAAATGTCGTATGAATCAATCGTTGGTCATCAGCTACCATGGGATTGCATCTCCTTACGGTGCCCCACTGCCTTGTGGATCAGACCCTTAGGTCGAAGGCTCCGAATGTGGCCCCCTAAGAAAACCACCGACTTCGGTTTGAGCACCCGAGCAGTATCACAGCCTTCACACATATCAAATGAGATCTCTGTGGCGCATATGTATTTGGTGCCTACTTGTACCAATATCTATGTGTTAAAATAAAATAAAATAATAAAATAAACACATCTGTAAATATTCACCTCAGTAGTATGTTTGGTGTGCAATAATTCTTTAATGGGCAATCTACTGTATAAATCATCAATACATCTCATAATTCTTTTCATTTAAAGTGAAGGTGGTAGTCAAGATGAATCTACGAACTAAACAGTCTTCTCAAACTGGTTGTAAGAGATATTTTTCTCTAAGAACGTAAAAATAGATTTATCAGAAGATAGTAACAAAATCGACTGGTTAGTCATGTAAGCCAGTCGAACTTTTGATACTATTTGGGAAAAATTAAAAAGTTCCAAGCAGATTTTCTATTTATGTATTTTAGAGAAACTGATTAGGAAATCTATCAAACATGATGTTAGTTATTACACATAATCGATTTCTCGTATTTCATCAGAATAAGAAAAAAACCGTGAGGAGGGCTTTCTGATGTCCATTCTTTTTTTCAGCCACAGTATTTGCTCCTAGGATCTATATCAAAGCACTCAAACTGAAGGCTGTTTCTTTTTATTGTTCTGAATAATGCATGACTGCTATATTTCATCTTTTGTAACTACATTTTCCCTATTATAGTTCGTTTATATGATGTACAAACCTGTCGTTGTTATGTATCAGCCGTTCCAGAAGACCAACATCTTAGTGCAGTTAATATGGTTCGGTGGTCACCGAATGGAACTGCTTTTGTTACTGCTGGGATGGATGGCAGCTTCAAGATTTGGGACGGAGTTTCATGTAGATGTGTTAACACATTTGAAGCTGCACATGATGGTGCACCTGTGTGTTCTGTAGTTTTTTCACGTAATGGAAAAGTATGTCAAAAAGTTTGAATATGCTTCCCTTTATATCTATATTTGAATATCATTTTGGGACAATATTACAGTTTATTTCGCAGAGATACCTTGTGCATAATGTAGTGAATAATATCATCAATACTCCTTAATTTGTTGAGTTATCGATCCATTAGTCACTAAATATGATTCTTATCAAATAGATTCCATCGATTATTTGTTGGTTTATGTGAACCAAATAGTCCAATCTATCTTATATTCCAATCTCAGTAAGTGAACCACTCGTAGCATTGGTGGGAAATCCCACATGTAAATATGGTACCATACATTTAATTTAGTATAATTCGAAAATACTCATCAGAAGTGTCAGTATGTGCAATTCTTTTGCTTGAACAATTGGGTTTTTGTAAATGCTTGGAATTTTTACAAAGTGATCAACACTTCATTCAAATTAATAGTGAATGAGAATTGGTAATCAGTCATACACCTAAGAGAAATGCATTTATTTACTTCAGAGTCTAGAACCCTTATCATTAATTCGTTTTCTGTGTCATTCAAAATGTTGAATCGTTATTTAAAGTTTCGCATTTCTTTCAAGTACTTACGCATCCTAGTATTACTTCTATGTCGAGTATAAGGTTACGAGTTTGTTTGAGTTATCCATACTTTTAACAACACGCTAATAAAAACGGTAGTTACGATTTTTAGGTATTTCTCTTAGGGCAAATTGTACATCAGCGTTTCCAACTTTTTTTAAAAAGTTTACTGAACAAGTAAAAAATCAAGTTTTCCAGAAGCTTTAAAATGTGCTTAACTACTAACCATCCCTATAATACACAGTACATTTTATCAATCTTAGGACATGTAGGCAGGTGTAGACTACCTAGTTGATGTCCGTGTGATTATTACAACCAAATGGTTAGAGACTTTCAATATCATAGCACAAAGTCGTTCGTAACGGTGCAAGTATACCCACTATTAGCCTTCCGTTAGATCCTAAGTTTCTTAATCCCTCATAAATTCTTTTTGTTTATTATTTCGCCAGTTTTTATTTTTACCAAATCGTATCCTCAATGCTTGAGCTTTCCCATCACCACCAATACTGTTACTATCTCTATTACTCTGAGATTTGCCCTGACAACTTCATCTCCGTGCTAATGTGTTGTGTCAACGTGAAGCGATGTATGCATGTGCCAGGTTCGACGTTGCATTTGACTTACTCAATCCGAGATAAAATTCCCACAAATGGATTTTATGAGATTCTTTATATAGGACAAATAAGTATTTTGATGTTGTAACCCAAGATAGTATGTTGCTTGTAGTGGTGACACAAAACACTGAATCAACCTAGCTACACTGCTGAATTAAGGCTGATTGTCCGAAAACTTATCAAAATTCATAGCAAGTATAAAATCGTTAGTTTTATATTGTAGTCTACCCTACACTGGCCGGTTCTATCTCAGTTTTAGATGCTTCCCACGTTGAAAACAATACTCATCGTGATATAATTGTATCATTTTTCATTTGTAATAAAAAATTTACGGTGTGCATATTTCCATTTTTAGTATATCCTTAGTTCCGGTAAAGACAGTGCAGTTAAATTATGGGAATTAGCCACTGGACGATGTCTTATAACCTACACTGGAGCAGGTACAGTAGGACATCAAACACACAGATCAATGGCTGTCTTTAATCACACAGAAGATTATGGTAAGTTGACCGATTAATACACGTTGTAGTTCTCATGTTTGGCTTTCATTTGTTTTTGATATTATTTAACTTTCTACGCCTTTGATGTTATTAATCCTCTTTTTTCTGCGCTGATGTGCCAGCTTGAACCGAGACACTTGTGCCATATCCTACGTTAACTACAACTGACCGTTGCATTGTTACGATGGAAAATACCAATGGATAACACATAAGTTTATATTATGCTCATCCCGAATACCAAAGGTGAGAGTCATGAGAGAACTTAGATACCATAAAATTAGTGGTGAAGTAGAGATACTTCATCTGCATGTAAAAGAGTTGAGGTTTACACGACAACAATTACTACCGTGACTTTCGTAATATGTTAGTGCTATGTAACTAACACATTCCTATTAGTTAATTTCCGTTGCAAAATACTACATCTGTGTTTTCCGACCTACTTGTTAGAAGTTATCAAGGGATTAAAATCATGGACTTTAATTAATCGTCCGAGAGACATTTCCCGACCGACGTCTACTTCAATAATATTCTACCCTTAGTAGTGTTATTCAATGCGTAAGAGTGATAATATTTACAAAGCGATTTCATTATATGTACGAAATGCTTCGAAAACATTGAGTGTCTTGAATGTCTTCCGCTTTTAATAACTATGTTTGATATTTGCAGGTAAATTTAGAAAGAAATCAGTTAGAACTTTGTAGGAGAAATAGGTCATTTGAAATGATTTCATCAATGCCTACTTGCAGCCGTACTTAGAAAAGTCGTATTTTTTAATGTGACTATTATCGCACTTATTTTAGCATTAATTCAAGCATACAATTATATTTATTGTTTTTCTCTGTATAGTACTATTCCCAGACGAAGCAACAAAAAGCCTGTGTTGTTGGGATTCACGTAATGCTGACAGACAGCGTTTATTAGCCCTTAGTAAGTTTATACACAGTGACTACAGTTTTTTATTAAAATTTAGAAAATCTACCAATTTATAAGTAACGTAAAAGTTTATTCATTATGAACGAATCATTGCGTGAACTGTTTATCAGTTTACAATCAATTTGCTTTTGCAGCTTAAGATTTATTTTAAAGCGATGGGAAAATCATTTTAACCTCCTTTCACTATTGTATATCAAACAGACTACAGTGATACACAGTAGTTTATTTACATAAAACCTAGTTCATTCACGCTATTATATTTATCATTAACTACCTTGTACTATATTGGTTGAATGCTTTTACCTAATTTTTTTCTCTGTACTAGATCATAACGGGCCAATCCGATGTTTTGTACATTCACCAACAACAGCGGCATTTATGTCCTGTAGTGATGATAATCGTGCAAGATTTTGGTATAAACGTCCTATATCAGACTGAAATTATTGTAACCATAACATTGGACAAACTGCTTTATTTTGTACAAACCAAACTGTTTTATTATTAATTGTTTAAAAAGAGAAATAAAGCATTGTTAATTGTTAAACTAACATTTTATTCAAATTAAGTAGACATTCTTTTACATGACTGATGAAGAAATAAATAAAACTAAACAATGGAATTTGTGTTTGATCACCTACTTTAAACTAACAATCAAATAATATTAATAATTTGTTTATCTTCAATGTTAACCAGCTTGTCGGGTGATTTTTCTTGCTGATTCAACATTCAAAGGTAAATTGTATTTTTTCCATACCATACATAAAGAATCCACTAGTTCTTCAGTTAGTTTATCTGTATGATGCGGTGTGGGTGCAATACGCAAACGTTCATCTCCTATGTCTACAGTTGGGTAATTTATTGATTGCACATATATATTATGTTCGGATAACAGTTCTTCTGATATTTTCGTACATAGTTTCGCTTCACCGACCTATTAATACAGATAAATTATAAAACACATAATAGTGTAAAAATCAAATAATTAGAATTGTATACATATTTCTAAAAATGAAAATGTGAAACACTAACAGATCATTATCAAATTTGTATTCATTTAGATCAATCATCAACTGATGGGTTAGAAGGTTCTTTCATTCCTAGAACAAATTTAATGACACAACAGCGTGTCTTTCTCGTATTTCTTCCAGTACTGCTGATTAACTGATGGTTAAAACTACTTTGAATTGAAGCTATTACCTATTGGATAAATTCAAATGCCTAAACCAATGAGTTGAAACCTACTAGTTTAAATTCCTATTCGAATCGGTAAGTAAATTAGTTAATTAACATAGGCTGTTACAAATGGATTCGACTAATTGTTATGTAATTACCTACTTGCACTTAATAGATTAGTTCTCACACACTCGGGCTTTGTTAGTCAGATCAAAGTACTAATGAAACATAAAAATTATCAAATTAGAAAAATATAAACTTACATGTAGTGGAATAATATGTGACGGCGCTTCAATCACAGGCAATCCTGCTTGACGGAGACTTTGGCGTACGATAGATACTCGTTTTTGGTGTTCTGCACGAAGTTCTTTTCCTTCAGAAGATTTCAAAATTTGAATACTTGTTTGGGCAGCAGCCAAGGAATGTGGTGGTAGTGAAGTAGTAAATATAAATCCAGAAGCATAAGATCGGATCATATCAACTAGTTCAGAACTTCCTGCTAAATAGCCTCCGATACTAGCAAAAGCCTGCGAATACGAAAATAGACAATAAAATTAGCGATAATCATAAAATTACACATAACATTGATCAGGAAAGTAATATTTGATTTGGAAACATTTTATGATGAGCGTATTATGTAAAATGATAAGATTTAGCGGGCGATAGTGTCATGACCGGTTAACCTTTTGATTTATTGTCATGTATTTTTGCTGTCAATGATGTTCATGTGAATCAAACATGAAACGAAAAGATGGTCATTTCGTACGTGAACAAACTACAATACAAGTAGTAAATGATAAAAAATTAGTTTGTGAACTATCAAACTAGTTACCAATGACGTAAGACTTTTCATGATCTACGCAGTGTTACTATACAATTAACATGAATCTCAATTCATGGATAGTACGTACGTGCATCTCATACATACTATCAGATGACGTGCACTGCGAAATTTGATCTACCACCTTTTTCTAAAATCTCTCAGTGCAAGTTTAATGCTTGAGTATAAATTTAACAAGATTGTTTAAACTACAGGTATGTGAAAAGTACAAATAACTATTTAATATAATTAGCAAACCTTTCCAAGTGTACCCGTAATTGCATCTATCCTATGCATCTGACCATCACGTTCAGCAACTCCAGCTCCATGTGCACCGTATAAACCAACAGCGTGAACTTCATCAACAAATGAGAGTGCTTTATTAGCTTCAGCAACATCTAATAAATTCTTCAATGGGCAAACATCACCTATGATTATAAAAATAAATAGCTTTTAAATATTTAAATATAACAGTTTGTAGGTGAATGAAAATTCGCTCCATAAATGTTAAATAACAATGAAATCAATGATAATAATATTTAATTGAAACGGTAAGAGATCGTGTGGTATAAGAAAGGATAGATAGGTTCTAAAACAAAATATGGCTTAAACGAAATATACACTACTTCTACATGAATCAGTTTTCAGACAGTATTTAGTATAGATTTTAGTTGAGTGATTATTAGTAAATGAGATTTAGCCACTACGTTGTGCTCCAGTCACGATATTGACCATTTTTGACCACAAACTGCTTATCGTACAAAGAGATGGATAATAATAACTACAGAATGTGACCAATCAATCCGTACTAAGATAGGGAGGTCCACTGAGAAGAATAACTACTATCGTAAATAACTGCGTTGTAAGTCTTACTGAAATGTATTATCAGTGAAGCTGTTATAAATGACCAGCACTCTCTTCTGGAAATTTTAATGAGCGATAGTTATTGTTTCTTGAAGTCAAGACCAAAACTGAAATTTACCAGCGAGGCTATAATTCTGCTGGTAGCATCAGATATTCGGTTAAAACTGAAGAAACATAAGCAGTTTGCAGGAATGCCAGATACCATTACTTGCGAGTACACTAAGAAGTGAGTTATTTAAAAATTCGTACATACTATCTAGGATGACACTCCAGGAGACAATGCTTTACAACACTCAAAGCCGGATGTTCGCTGTGAATGTTAAAAACGCAAAGTATTAGATAAGAAAGGCATTGGGTTAATATTATAGTGAATCTTGATTGACCGAGTTAAATGCAATATGCAGATTTCCATCTATCAATTACCTCAACAGGATATAACTGTAGGACTAGTGTGAATAAAATTTAAATGTGTTTGGCTAAAAATAAAATGAATCCCTGAAACTTTTATTAGTAGCGTGAGCCGCATGAGAGGACTGTGAATTTATTAGTTCGACTCCATGACTCGCTTTTAGTCAGATTAGGAACTTTACATGTTTTTACCTTAAAACCCACCAGTACCACATCACTATTCTTTAACTTACTATGAGTGACAGACATCTATTTATCTAAGAATATTAATTTACGTGTCAAATGTTTTTCATTTTCCTACTTTATTCTTATTGACCTTATTAAAATAATTTTCCTATTTCAATTTATGAAATGGTGGACTTGTTGGTCAAAGGCTTAAACTTTCAAGCAGCAGGCTATATATCGAAACCCTGCGCGGCATCTACATTGGTTTGAGAAGCCTGGTAGCAATACCATTGATCCTCTTGGTATAAACAGTTCATCTCAAACTGAGTACGCGACGTTGTACCTGATAAATAAGTTACGTCAAGCGTGTGACGCATGAAAGCTTGGAAATGATATACTACTTTACGAAATCTTTTTCTTTTGTGTCCGATAGTCATCACACCTATTACTGAAACTGTAGTGTCAGTTATTATGCCAAGCCCATATACCTTATTCGAGCTTTCGGACATCCCATTCTATTCATTTTACTTGAGCCATATTTTGACCTTGTCAATTATTCGCTTATTAGCCTTGACTGTTTTCACATGAGCGTATATGTGTGTACACTTCATGTCCCATGATTCGTCACATGTCTGTAGTTTATTTTGTCTGCCTATAAATAATGAGTAACGCTTAATTAAGAAGGGAGTTGGCTTCCCAGCCATCTTCCAGTACATGTCGAAATTGCTTTGGCTCTCGCTCGCTTAGCATGCGAACGGGTCCCTTCGTTGGTAAGCCCGCCGACGACGAACGCAACGCAGCAAGCTACGTCGATGAAGGCACTTCTGCACTCTATACGTTCGAAGAACATATTCAGCGAAGCCAGCGCAATCTCCAATCCGACGCAATCAGCACAGCCTGTGCAACATGACATGGACATGCTCAAGTCGTATTATCTTATCGATACTTTGTCCTCATGTCAATTATCCTCATTGATACATTTTTCGGATTGTTCCATTACGATTCAAATTATCATTATATGCTTTTTATTACATTATTATCAATATCATGACCGAATGTGGAATTATTAATCTTGTTCGTGCTGTCACTAAATTGACATTTTCGCAATCATATCACTAACCGAACAAATTATCATTTTATGGAAATTCCACTCCGCGTGATGACATCCAGAACTCATTGGGATATTTTTACTATTCAAAAACGTGAAATTTTCCTGCTTTAAGCGAGTTCGTTCCAATTTTTCATGTCATTTTGATCTAATATTGCATTCATTCACTTAGTCGAGGTCCGCAATTTATGTTATCACAACATACATTTTTCATTTCGAAACCGCCTATTATGTCTGGATGCTTCTGACTAGCTGATTAGTAACCATTACGGTCATTTTATCTATTCTTCCACGTGCGTAACTACATTCTGCATCACTTACCACTCAAAAACGCTATTCGAGTACTGCAATTTCTATTCTATACCCATCGCTCGGTATATCAGAACATAGAGTTTAGAGCTAGCCTCTCAAAGATACACTCTTGTTCGTCACATCCAAGTCAGTCTCATACGTCTCCATCACTAATCATATGTATTGGTATTTTTGTCATGCCTTGGTACGGTTTTGTAACAAACGAGATCGAGCGCATCTCCCTCAAATCACACAAACCACTCTAGGCTTCATGACCAAAAAGGAATACGACTCTACGTACCTCGTCTACTCAGTCACTATTCTGTTCCTCTGGTCATTCTTCTACTAATACATATTCAACGATGACTCGGTGCATTTGTCACAACGCAGACGACAACATCCACTGACTTCAAATTTTATGATTATTATCAATTGCAGTACAGCAACGAATATCACCCGTCGATGCAGTTATCATTTCACGACTTGACTATTATTATCCTACGAACGTGAACAACGCATTCGAATTCACTCGTCGCTAGTCGATGCTATTTATTCTGCTGCGGCTCAACAGAATATATATTTCGCATATTTCACTATTTTGTCAGCATCACAGACCAATTTCTGTCATATTCTACTCTAGCCATTTTGACGATTTATTTCGCTATCATACCCACAAACAATTTATTTCTATTTTCACGATATTTTGAATCACTCATACAAACGTGTTATTTCATCGTTCAGACAGTCATAGCATTAGTACATTTTAATTTTTTGTACGCTCATTAATTTGCTCATATTCGCATGCTAACGTTTCCATTTTTGTCCGCGTCTTTTCTATATTCAAGTATGACATTTTCATATAATACACTCACCCCTCATGTGACACTGTACTTTATCGAGTGTTGTACAATTTTTTGGCTACTTATTGTTAACGTTAACTTCATATCACTTGAGTATTATTTTCGAAAACAGACATTTTTTTAAATGTGCTATTTTCTACAGGGGGGCTATGTAGTGTCAGTTATTGTGCCAAGCCCATATACCTTATTCGAGCTTTCGGACATCCCATTCTATTCATTTTACTTGAGCCATATTTTGACCTTGTCAATTATTCGCTTATTAGCCTTGACTGTTTTCACATGAGCGTATATGTGTGTATACTTCATGTCCCATGATTCATCACATGTCTGTAGTTTATTTTGTCTGCCTATAAATACTGAGTAACGCTTAATTAAGAAGGGAGTTGGCTTCCCAGCCATCCTCCCTGTGCGTCATTTTGCTTGGCTCTGTTTCATTCACTTCATATACAAAATATATGTATTCAAATGCCATTCTCGTTAATCGACTTATTTAATTCCGTTATGGACTAACGCGATCTAAGTCGACGATGATAAACGAGAATAGGTGATAACAACCATTTATACAATCTAAATGGAGTCAGATCAACGGGTCTCAAAAAAACATTATTAGACTATTTACAAGAATATAAGTCGATTAAAATGTAGGCATTTTTAATAATTTTATGTGTAGTCTACTATTACAGGATAATCAGAGTGTGAAGAAATACTTATTAATTGCCAAAGTTTCTTCAATGAATATTTTGTAACCAGTCTATATTGAACAGTAATTATTAAAGTCTTCAGGATACATGTGTTTAACGATTAAAAGACCATATTACACAAAGTAAACTCCTTAGTTAAGATATTTTAAATAGTGAATACATGATAAGTAGAATATATTGTTTTAAATTTATTCTAAAGTTATTCTTTTTTTTGCCGATTTTAAAACGGAGTGTCAAAAAGATTAGTACACTATTATCATTTAAACCTATAAACGGAAAACTAACAGAAGTGACAATTATAAAAACTGTTTCAATGTTAAATATATAAGAGATCAACATAGTTAATTACCTGACATTGAATGGACTGTTTCAAAAGCAATTAGTTTCGGCGAATCCTTAGGTATATTTGCAAGTAACGAAGTTAAGTGTTTCACATCATTATGTCTATAGATAACTTTTGGACAACGACTAGTTCGAATCCCATGTATCATTGATGCATGATTACCAGCATCAGAGATTATTGTTAATTCTGGTATACGAGTTCCTAAAGTATGTAATACAGCTTCATTAGCTACGTAACAACTTGTAAATACTAAAGCTGCAGGTTTTCCATGAAGATCTGACAATTCAGCTTCTAATGATTCATGTAACAATGAGTTACCAGATATATTACGTGTTCCACCTGAACCAACACCATGTTTACGTATGGTAGAACTAAAAAATGTTTTATAGAAAAATTCATTGTTATATGGGTGATTAAATCAAGAAAACAATTATGAAATTGCTCCAGTCATATGAACATGACTAATCCTTGTTATTCATTCATTTTGTTGTTTCACTGATATTATTCAGTATGTGTGTGCATTAATTGTATTATCTGTATAGGGTTGTGGAGATTGTTGAGTTTTAATTGAGATCATGGACCGATCAATGTTAAACCACCATCGAAAACCTGAAGAGACTAGAAGACCGTTTCGCCCTAGTATGGGATTCCTTAGCAGCACGATCCCTAACAAGGGATTCGAATCCAGGGCTTTCAGTCTCGCGCGCGGACGCTTGAACTCCAGATAACTGAGCCGGCATCCAGCAATGTTAATGTCTAATTTCAATTAATCCAAAATATTGCACGACCATTTTTTATTGTCTTCGGTGAGTAACTGCCTTACACCAATACAGATTAGTCCCACTGGTTAAGGTTTCTTACTAGAACTCTGAGAATTACCTCTCGAAGCTAGTGACTAGTGAGCACATGATAATCATCAGTATAAGGTTGCGTTCTACCGCCAAACCGAAAGTCCTGGGTTCGGATCCCGCGTGAGGGGTTGTGGATACGCCCTGATGAGGAGTCCCATACTAGGAATAGACGCTCGTCCAGTGCTTCCAGGTTTTCAACGGTGGCCTAACATCTGTCACTTCATGATCTTAATTTTATTAACTTACATTTTAGAAACAAAATTATATTTATTGACTATGTTTATATAGATACCTGTTTTGACCATATCCCTGTTAAGACCGTGTGCGACAGTACAAGGACTTATTCAAGAAATTCATCTGTAGTTTATTACTTCCTCCATACCTATATATGTGAGTAATATAAAATCCTATAAGATAAATTACACCCTTTATTCTTAAAAAAAGAAACATAATTCTAATATATGTAGTGTTTTAACTTAGATTGATCTATTGTATTTTTCTACTAACTATAAGGGAGAAATGCAATAAATGTATAGACAAACGGAAAGTCTAGATAATAGGGTACTTAGTGAAAGATCAATTGGAATGATGTACCACGGTAAAAGTGTTGTAGAAGACTCAATCAGGCAGATCAGACAATCAAACTGTGTAAATAAGTGAAGTGACTGTTGGTTGTTCATATGATTTTAGTAAGTAAATGTCACGAGTGGGGAATACAAAATCAGATTTACCTTAAACAGTATTTGTGCTCAGTATAATAAGACGACCGAAAATAAATCATATCATTTATAAGCGCAGTCGCATAGGTCATTGGGTAGGTCGGTTATACTTTATATCGTTATAACTAGAACATTCTGTCGAATTCTATTTCACTCATGGGAACCATGAGAATAGAATATCCGGAACGAATTTAGCATCGTTCATGAGCTTCAAACAAAATTCTTCACAATTCTGATATATTATAATGCAATTCCACATATCAGGTGATCCATCTTATTAATTTGTATAGCAAGCAGTTTTTATAAAAGAGATTAATATAGTGATATATAACTTATCCCATTATACATGTCAGTCAGTAGCAACGTAGAACTTCGTACGTATGTACATCAGTTCGAGTTGCCACACCACATTAGCACAGAGATGCAGTGGTCGATTCAAATCCCGTAGTGGTAGAGGTAATAAGAGTATAAGCAGTAATCGGGAAGATTAGTGTTTGGAGATGTTACTTAAAGAGTATAATACAGTGAAATAAATTTGGGAAGAGAAGAAAAGAGACAGGGAGGAATAAGGAGATCAAAATTTGGGAGAACACAAAAAGTGTATGCACCTGCGCCATTGCAAACGATTTTGAGCCACATGTTAAATTAATTTAATTGAACTATTAGTTTCATCAATTATTCTATAAGTATTTAATTTGTCATTACTACACTTACAAGCAATAACATACTCTTGTTAAAAAGAATTTTACAATTACTCATTGAATAGTAAAATTATTTGATTTGCAGAACTGTTGTGCTTTAATTTAATGAAACTACCCTTACAATTTAGTTGATTTCTGAAATTTCATCTACCAGGTCATCTTATTTGGTTCATGATAGTGTAGGGGTTGAGAAATAAACACCAAATTAAATAAAAAAGAGACTTTCGATTTCAATAATAACGGTAAGAATTTCACGCCACACCACCATTTCTCTTGAACAGTTTGATCTAACATTAATTTATTAATATACTTCGTCGTGTTTGTGCTAAGTGATAACTTTTTTGTACATGATGATATGCGTAATTCAGAAATGAAAGGTCAGAGTATACAGGTGGAAACACGTGAAAAACAAGAATTGATGGAGAAAAAAATCATAGCACTATGGATATTACATTAAAATATTAATTTTAATTGGATTTTCAATAAGCTTTGATTCACGCTTTACCTTATTATCCTTATTATTCACGTCTCCACTTGTATAGCCTGATCTTTTATTTTTGAGATAAAAGTATCTTCATGAATTGTGAGATTATATTGATCAGAATGCATATTATAGCACATACCGTATAGTACATATTTCTAATATACTTAATTGTGACACTACAGTTTGAACATAATATAGTTGTCATCGAAATGAAGTTGGATTTTCTTTTACAAATAATCCAACGTTAATCTGTGTTTAATATGAAAGGAAAAAGTATGTGTTTAACTAAGACTGAGTACCAATTACTATGTAGTAGCAGAACTTTGGCGATTTACTGACTACTACTACTACTGCTAATAATAATAATCACATTTATACCACAAAGTCTTTAAATGAACAGGTACTATCGTAGTGAACGAGAAGACAAGTGGGCACAATCGAATGTATTTGAACACAAAATTAAAGAAAATTTTAGTAAAATCTGAGAACTATACAGTGAATACTTCATTTGCAAAATGTCAATCAATTGTCTCAAAATCGACTGTTCCTTTTGCAAAATGTCAATCAATTGTCTCAGACTTCACTGTACTTTCGTTTCCACACCAATCGTTATTTGTTCTCGTTCTCTTTCTTCGATCCTCTTAACCTTCTGTCTCTAGACATTGCACTTTCGATTGACGATACATACTACTTATATCTGTTGACATCAGTAGCACACACCACACTATGAAATAGAATAACTAGTTTACAAAACTTACGATTACAGAAATAACACAGTTGGTTATCTGTGAAAGGAAACTATAAAATATTTGGGAGATGAACAATTATAAGATAAAGGTCTTTTGTAAGTCACCACCCAAACATTATAGCCTCTAAGTAACATACCTAACATCTGTTCGCCATATTGGTGTCAGCATTGATAAAGTTATGTCAATGTGATTTGTCCACTAAAAGTTCATAACAATCACAACTAACTAAAGGGAATAAAAAAGCAACACTTACATGGCAGCTTCCTGAACTTTAGGATGCCAACTCATTCCCAAATAATCGTTGGAACACCAGACAGCTACACGACGTTTCATACCACTAGAATAATCATCTGCAAACGGAAATTCAGATGCGTCTCTTAAAATTCTCCTAAATACTCGATAAGTAGAATCTCTTTTTTTTCTTTCTACTTCAGACACGAAAAACTTATTATAATTGAAACCTAGGCAGCTATCACCATCATTACGCACCGAATCGATTGTTTGAGAATGTTCTGGATCAGCGTTCTTTATCGTTATGTCTGTTGTTGGCTGAAGACTTTTTCTCGCAACTATACTCTTTTGCCAACCAGCGAATAAGGCACACGTGTTTGGAATACATATGTCTACAAAAGGAATAGATAAAAAATACAATTAAAAAAGAACGCTTTTAGATACTAACATTGTAATGAATAGTTTTTTTCACAAATTAGTACGAACAAAACAGTGAATCAGTGGTCTAAAGGTTAACTATTTGCTGTGAGATCTAAAGGTCTTAAGTTCAACCTCTGATTGGGCCGTGGATACCTACTGCTGAGGAATCCCATACTAGGACAAAACGGCCGTTCACTTCTTTCTGCTCTTTTATAAGTTGTTTAACCAAGTTTACGATGTGATGTAAACTGTAAAATACAAAGCTGGTGTTCATCAAGAAATAACACATCGTACTATAGATAACACGTAGAACTACTAGGTTACTTCATCCACAATTCTGAAATTTGTATATAGAAGAATATGCACATCGAACCCTGCAAACAAGGTGAGCTCATGACAGAAATTAATGAGAATTTAACACGAAGTGTATTCGTTTTTTATGTGTTTTAATGTAAAAACAATTCTTAAGTAATTGATATACTTTCTGCAATATATTTATGTCTTCCAAATAATCATTCAACTTACCATCAGAAATCCCACATAACTGGTTTTGATACATCTCGTTTTCGTGATTATTAGAGGTTTGGGCGCACAGATAATCATTTGAACATGTTGACTCATATGAATTGACCGTAAAAGGACATTTTTTCAACAAGCACTCTGAGACATTCTCTAAAATACAGAATTAATTCGATAACAAACTAGATGGAAAAAATATTTATAGAAAGGGTAACATACAAAGCTGACAATCAATAACGATGACCAAATAAATGTGTTAATTTTGTTGACTGAACATTAAATGTCAGGTTCTGGAGCGAGGGTATAGTGATTAAAGAATTTGACTTCTTAACGAGTAGCAGGTTCGAATAATGTTCCATCTATTTCAGCTTAGCCAACCACAGTGTCACTATCCCTTCAACAGTGTGTGGCTCATAGGTGGGTACATAAACTCGTACTTAGTCATTGGGTTATATGGTCTCAAGACGCTGTTAATTTTTATATCAGTCATCAAATAACAATAACCACTTTCTATCAACTGTATTAATACGGTTTATCGTTTTGCAGAAAAAAGCCCCTGCTAGTTCATTGGTCCAAATACAAGACTTTCAAGAAAGAGTTCAAATACACTATTACAATTACATATATCTATGCAGCTGGTGAAAGTTGTCCTCAAATTACATGACAAATTCAATTCACAAATTAATAAACAAATATAGACATGATTATCGGAATAAGTTTCATGCTATTTATGGATAACCCAGAGGTAATTTTCCCACTATTACTAAATGGGAATGCCCGGTTCAGAGTATGAAAGGGGTGGTTTAGCAGTTAATGCGTTCGACTTTCAGCCACTATATCCAAGGTTCAAACCCCGCTTCCCCTACCTCGTTTTTGGTAACCGGGCAGTAAGATTACTAACAATCACTTTAAATGTAGCTGAAATCCGAATACCTGACGAGTTTATTTACAGTTAAATGAAACTTAAGACAGAATTTGAGACAGAACTATCCATACCAAAAATAAGAATTTAGCTCATAAAGATTTCGTAAAAACTTAAACGAATAGTTCTTGAATAGTCGTGATTATACAGAAAGTATATAAGACCCAATCACATCTGTATGAAATTTCAACGACTGGAATTAAATAACTCCAATGTTCCTCTCGATTGTCTGATTTGAACTTCTGGGAAATAATCGAAATTAACATTAATAAATGTAGGATCGTGAAGACAACTATCAAATTGTGTTCAAATGAACTTGGTTCATAAAGTAAATATGTTATTTATTGTGAAACGGGCTCAAATAGCGGTATTTGAAGATGTGTATTTATGTTATTCTTATTTGAATCCAGTAATCATGTATTCATAAGCTATGATAAATCTATTCAATAAATGGTTTCACGCTGAACTCCTGTTTGGACATTATATGTCGTAATGTTAATCCAATAATTACAGGTTTACATATCGAACTTGAGTCAAACAGTAAGAGATTTGGAAACAACACTAAGATGAGCAGAGATAAAAAGGTCGTGTGGGGTTCGAACCTCAGCCTAAAGGGTTATAAGTCAAACGAATCAACAACTATACCACCATCATATATAAGTCACTACAAACTGGAAGAAACTTAACGAATTCACGTAGTTTTAGATGAAATGGTTCCTATCTCCGAGCATTTTCACTTGATATACACGAGGGATATAGTAACTTCAGATATTAATTTAAGACTAGAAGTTTTATACCAAATTGGTTGGAAACAGTGCTGCCAGCCTTCTCGTTCGCTCCTTGTGAATATGAAAAACTATAGAAATATGCTTTCCAGTATTTATTCATTGAATGTTTTGTTGTGCGATTCGCATCACATTTCTGGGGGAATTTTACAAATTATATACATCAGCTTACTTTACTTCGTATACTTTAAAATAATGCTTTATTCCAAAACAATTCAATCTAAGTCTTTAAAGTTAGCAAAAACGCATTTTAAATCATGGAATACTTAGGCGAAGACATTTAAATATTTTGCCTTACAAATATTCCGTTTCATCTTTATTAAGACAGCTAGGTTAAAACTAGGACAATAAAACGGGTTTGGATAATATGCATAAAAATTCTGACCACAAACCTTACAACTATGTAAAAGTGAAGGATTGAATTGACTGCCACTGGGTAAGACATGTATTTCTGTGGATTGTCCACAGTTTTCATTTGAGGAAAACCAGAAAATAGACCTGTCTGGCCACAAGAAATAAAAATATAGAAATATAGGCGATATTAGAGATAAGGGCTTACTACAAACTGATGATTCATCTGACTGACGCTCCATAGCGACATCTGAATACATTCTAGGACTGGAAAGTGGAGTTCCATCAAACAAACGCCTAGCAAACGGACATCTTGGTATTAATTGGATCAACTGTTGAATATCTCTTTGAATCACAGTAGGAGACAATTTACGCAAAAACGGGCACGACGTCATTGTAAAACCTTAGACACAAACAAACAATAAGTCATAATGAAAAACAAACAAACCAGTTATTTATTACTAAGAATATTTATCAGAATATTAGAAACTGATGCGTACACATTAGTATATTGCGAAAACAAATCATTACATCAACTTAAGACATGACAACTTTTCTAGAGAGACGAAATTGATCCGGATGAATGACTGCATTCGACGCTTTTTGGTACGTATGGACTTTTCCAGAATTACCAATTAAACGAAGGACGAATTTAATTGTGGTAAACTTGTAATGTACTGTTAGAAGTTATGAAAACTCATCCAACCTATAATCACAAAATTACTTTTCCGTGTTTTGTAGTGATACTGATAGTTGTATTTTATGCAGATTCCCCAATGTGAACTGTAGTATGAATGATAACCATTTTATATGCTAGATTTAGGGAGGATAAGTGAGAAAATATATACTGTAGAAGAAAAATGAAAATAAGTACAACTATTTCAACTCAATTAAGTCTGAATTTACTTCAGTAACACTGAACTGCCTGACTACACAGTAACGTTGCTTAATCTGTAATATATTAAAGATTCAACTTCGGCAGACACCATATGATGCATAAACAGGTAGTGATAATTAATCATATGATGGTCCAACTTCAAACTAGTGACTTTCAAATCCAAACTATGCATTGGTTGAGGAATCTGGTAATGTTTAGTCCCAGGATCGTTACAGTAATAATAATGTAACTCAGTCTTCAAGTCTAAGTCTGTATACTTGACTTCCAACGACCCTTTTAGTCAGTCTAATGTTCCTACCAGTTGCCTAAAATCCAATAGGTAGAATTGAAATCAAACTCGCAACTCAGGTGTAGGAATTCAAGTGCAATGGCCAAATCAGTGCTTTATAATTAATGTTAAATATAGCACAATGTGCATCTATTTGACGAGTTTACGTTAAGCTGTTATAAATTAGGTCACACTGACTGATAGTTTGAAGAACTAAGGCCGAAATTCAGAACATAATATAAAATTACCCTAACTATTTATGAAAACAAATCGGGAGTCTGGACCATATCTTTAACACGATCTTGAGGATGTAAGACTCAATAACCATACTATATCACCATATTTCTTCAAATCTTGAAGACCGTATCATTGATAATCTGTTTGTACCTGATCTTTTTTTAGATATTTACGATTATTTGTGATATAATATCTAGCTTTATATCGCCTTTACCTCAACCTATATATCAATGTAAAATATTACGACTGTGACAAACCACATTATCTGCCTATCATTATAATAAAAAGGAACTATAAGAAATTATATCAATCACGTATAAAATATTCGAAAGTACCTACTTCATAAGTTAATGTATACAAATTAGATCCTAACAACCTAGACGGATGTATTATGACAGGAATATGTGCATAAAGTCCCACATCTTACTAACAGAATGTAGCACAAGCTGTGTAACGCTTAGTCATATATTCGGTTATGTTATGGTCCTGGAAGAGGACATTACAAGAGGCTTTGGAGTAACCACTCTTCCCAAACGAATTATGAAAACAAGGTTAAACGAACGCTTTTTGGCTATCCAGTCAACAACAAAAACTATTTAGACAAGCACTAACTATTTAGAGTTTTAATACATCACACCACCAGGTATAAACTAGTGCTGGATCTTGGTAAAAATCGTGTCCCAACCCATTGAAATACGCTTTGTACAAGATTTTCAATCTTTCGCAATCTGGTACAGAAAACGGACCTTTATAATTAAACAACAAAACCCTAGCATTTGCAATATCCAAGTACTTTGCGAGTAATTCCATTCCCTACATTTATTAGCTTATGTATTGTATTATATATATATATTTATTTATTTATTTACTGTCCGAAAAAATATGGACTACTTAGTGGTTGGAATTCTTGAATCCTAAAGGTTGCTTAACCAAATGTGCGGGTTATTTACTACGGTAACCCATATTAGTCCAGTCCTCCCTACAAGCTTGGACTGTGGAATTCTCAACTGAGTCGTTTTCAACTATCTTGTAATTATTCATATAAATTTGACCACAAAAGTAAAATACTACGACTTCAAAACTCTTGAAAGCTACTTACTATTGACAGAAATATGTAAAACCAATAAACACTAGCGCTTCACACGTCTACAGTAACGTCCAAAGTCGTTAAGCCTTCAAGTGCTACGCACAAATGTCATTGGTTGATTTTACAAGCTCCTAATTCAGATTCCATTGAATGTTTCAATGCTCTTTGTGCTTGATAAGTTATCCACATGCGCCCTATCAAAAGCCAGGACATTTAATTTTATCGATTGAATCATTATCCTGGAATCTGTGAGTACCATCTAAGGAGATCCCTTGACGGTCACACGTCTCACTAGGGGAAAGATCTCTAAGCATCAAAATCACCCGAAGCTACTTCGTGTAACAATCACTAACGCTACCGAAGTATTGGATATCCTACTAGCTAATCACTTTTTGAAATCAGCTGAGAATGTAAGAATACTGCCTTGCATATCGTATTCTGAGCGCGATCTCATCCGGAACACCCTAAAGTATCTCTCGAGTTTTTCCGCGGAAGAAATACCGCTGTGCAAGGTGTGCTGGAAAAAACGGTCCCTGGTCACTCAAGCCCTGATATTAGGGAATGGAGATTCACCGAGCGATCCTTGAAGCTCGAAAACATACTGACTCAACAAGTGGTGAGTTGAGCCAAGAAGGACGGAGATTCTAGGCCCCGGCTAATGAAGATAACTTTCCCATCCTCCCATATGGCGGCGGCTACTCTGGAAGCATTCTATGCCCACAGAATGCAGTATGACTGGAATCCATATGCATCCGGATAGGCCACAGGACGCCAGGATCAAGCACAAATTCGAGTTAGAGCTGACCATTTCACTTATGGACTGTCTTGATTATAAAAAATGTGTAACGGATAGACTGTCAACTCGAAAAACATTGCATAGGTAGCCTACCTGTCCATTCACGTAGGACTCATACAAACACACAGGACAATGAAGCTCACTCGTTTCAAATCGAAATCACAAACTGCTTATACATGAACGCCGCGAGTTTACCGAATGGAATGGATTGGCTACGTGAATTTAGCAATGCTAATAATGCTCATCTGATAGGAATATCCGAAACTTGGATATCTTCTCAGTTTACGGACCAGGGTCTAGCAATACCCGGAATGTTTTCGTTTCGCAATGACAGAAAAACAAGAATTGAGAGTGGCGTAGCTTTTTACTTACGATATTGCATAGAGGTTCATCAAGTGCACAACCAGGAGTTTATCAATCTTGATGAATCCGTATGGTGCTCAGTAGGGTTGTCCACCACCTCAAGGTGTCTAGTTGAAGTCTTCTACAGCAAGCCCAACGCTAAAATCGAGTACAACAATAGTATGCTGGAAGAATGATCCCACCCTACTCGTTTCGGATTCACTCATACCCTGATTCTAGAAGAAAAGACACTTCTTCTGGTTCGGATATGGTTCATTCTGCTATGCCACGAGAAGCAGCTGTAATCCTGACAACACCGCTTGGCGCGATGTTCTCACACTTACCGCATATTTGGAAGCCGGCTCACATCGCGCCAATTTCCAAAGTAGGTCGACGCAGCGAACCTTCAAGCTACCGGCCGGTGGCTCTTCTTTCTATACCTTCAAAAATTATGGAGTCCCTATTTATTATTCTTAAATCCCAACAGAATGGTTTCAGGGAGGGTTACTCTTGTATAGCCAACCTGCTGACTGTGGTGGACACATTGACAACCATCCTTGATCACAAGGGGAATGTTGACGTCATTTGCTTTGACTTCTCAAAAGCTTTTCATAGGGTTAACCATATATGTCTTCTCCATAAGCTAGAAACGATTGGGTATCAAATCACCTCCAATCGACCGGCTCGCTTCATGTTAAAAAATTGACATTTCAAGGTCAAGGTTATCTTAACTTTCTCTCGGTCTATGGAATGTCTTGATGGGGTCCCCCATGGTTCAGTACTAGGGCCTCTTCTCTCGATCTATATAAACGATATTCCACAACAGATATCGTTTGACTCAGTACTTTTGCTGAAACTTTGGAGAGAGATGTGCAACCAAGGGGATATAATGGCACTTCAGGAGGGTCTGAATCGAATTCAAAGTTGGGCAGGTGACAACGGGCCTACCTTTAACACTTCAAAGTGTAAAGTAGTCCATCTGAGACATATTACAGGCTACAGTTATAGCTTAGGAAACTACTCACTAGAAGTATTCGAAGTTGAAATGAATTTACAAATGCTGGTACGATCTCAAATCTTTAGCCAACTGGTACAAAAATGTCTTTCGAGCAAACCTGACTAGTTTTACGGCAGAACTTTCCACGTAATCTTCAATAGTTTTATTCGTCCCCATTTAGTGTACAGAAACATACTATTTCCTCCCTCACTCCAAAAAACAAAGACAAAGGCTGGTCACGAAATCGATTCGGGGACTTAAATTCAGACCTTACGAAGAGGGCCTCCAATCACTTAACCTTTACCCATTAGAGTATAGACGTCTTAGGGGTGACCTTTTACTGGCTTACAGCGTCCTTAACACTGCTGTTCATCCTCATAAACACCTACTTAAGTTTTGCTCCAACACAAACCTAAGGGGTAACACTCAGAAACTGGAAAAATAACATAACAGAACTGACTTTAGACACAACTTCTTTTCTCTAAGAGTTGTCAAATGGTGGAATTCGCTGCTGACTGAACTAGTCCAAGCGACATTTCAGGAGTACTTTAAGAGGAAACTTGACCTATTCTTAAGGACTAAGGATAATATCTTATTATGATTTACCAATATCTTTTTTTCCTCTATTTTCGTCAACATACCTAGGTTTCTGCCTGTAGGTATTGGTGATCCACTGTTGCTAGACGTAGAAGCCTGTTAAGCCGAAGCTTCTTCTATTCCGTCAACAACCATTTGAACCATTTGAAGGAATTTTGTAGGTGCTCTGAGGTGAAAATCATTTTGAGTGTATATGCCCGTCTTTTATTTTCGAATTATTTGTCGAAACCATAACATATCTTCAAAATTAATATGTCTTTCGGCGACTAAATATACTACTCCTTCCGTGTTTTGTTGTAATTTGCCTCGTTTGTCTCTGAGATATCGTTATTTAGGTTTGCAGGTGCCATTGTAGTAGCAAATATATGCTTAAAATCGGCGTTTCTGTAGATCGTTAAAACTGACACTGACCTCAGTAATTTCACCAGATGCACCTTAGCTGAATAAGCTCAGACAAGCATCCTCACCAGATCACCATTTGGTATGCTGTTCTACTCATCCCTTGCAATACATTCACTTGTGTCTTACTTCTTAATTCAATTGCGTTATTTCTGGGACTCTTAGTTCGTGCTATAATTCAAATAATTCAAAACATTATAATAGCGTCGCGATGGAGCCTGTACTGAAAAAGTTGGATATTCATTCAACTTCGGAAGCTTTTGAAGATTACTTGGAAAGGTTCGAAATCTGGGCTATGAGCAAGGAAGATGATGAGGATGTTAATATTGTGGCACACTTCCTCACATTCATTGGAAAAGAAGCGTACAGCTTATTAAGAACTCTGGCCATGCCGGAAAAACCCATTTCGCTTTCTTATACAGCTCTCAAGGATCTACTGCTAGACTATGCTCAGTATACAAATTTCGAATGTCGTAAAGGAGGAAGATTTCGTAAAATGATTCATGGGGATATAAAAAACACCACTACATTACTACGTCATCCTGACCCAGTGCATACTCAAGATTATTCAGTCAATTCATTGAGGAGTCGCAATGCATTTCACGAAGATGGGCACAAGTTTAGACAGTGTTTGTCCTGTGGCAAGTTCCACTCTTCTAATTCATGTCGATTTCGTAATTCTAAGTGCTTCAAATGTCGTGATATTGGACAAGTTCAGTCAGTTTGTAATACTAATGTTCATCCTACTGCAACTAATATTAAGTCTTGTAATTCTGATTCTAATGAGTCGAGTATTCATGATGATCATTTATATTTATCAACGACTTCAAAAGACAGTGCAGAGTCATATGGCAGTTCAGAGTTAAATGAAATCCAGAATTATTGTGAGACAACAGTTCCTAATCAACCGATTTATCAGAATTCTCATGCTATTGTACCAGGTATGACTTTTCCTAATGATTCACATAGTTCTAATGAAATTACTTGCAATTCTGAGGAAAATATGTTAAATGAACCTAATCATGATCGAAAACCTGATGTGGTTTGGATAGATGCTGATTTTTCTAACGATCCTACGCTCTGCAATGACAGTCCTAATGAATTTCATGAGAATATTTCAGAAGAATCAAATCCTGATGTCATATCATATATTACCTATCCTCATAATGCATTTGATCCTTGTGAAAAACCTGCTCACTGCGAAACACGAGTACTAAGTGACCTCGAGTTTGATTACATTTCGGATGATTTCATATCAACTGCTGTTTACCCTTATCACAAAAACACTTCTAATGTTTACTCTAAACAATGTGAGAAATATGTTTTAAATGAAGCCACATTATTCATAACTTGAGGATATAAAGATCCGACATTATTTCGTGAGGGAGTATAGTGTTGAAAAATCTATGGTTCGAATTCTAGATATTAATGATTTCATTACAAAACCGACATGCTGACTGTATACAATTCCAGGTGAGTCTGTTCCGAATTCGTTTGTTAATTCCAATACTGTTGAGCACTTTCTAGATACTACAAAGTCTTTATCTTATACAATGTCGGACAGATTCAGGATGGACTTAATAAGAAGACGTACAACCGATTACATACACTTGTACTCCTATTTAAGCTGTGGCGGATGTGGTGTTTGAATTAACTAATGATTCTTTTGTACTTGTTGAATGCTCGATTTCGAATTCCAAATACAATACATTCACTTGTGTCTTACTTCTTAATTCAATTGCGTTATTTCTGGGACTCTTAGTTCGTGCTATAATTCAAATAATTCAAAACATTATATTTATCCACACTTGATTGACACTCAAAAATATATATGGATTTTTAACACACACACATTCTTGGTTTCACAGTGTGCTTGCCCACTGTGCGCTTGTGGATTTTATTTGTCTTTAACAATTAAATATCTCTATAACTGGTGTTCAGGCTTCTGAACAATCTCGAGTAAATCCATAATTCTACTGGGAGATTTAGCCTACCTTAAAT